ACATTGGGGGGGACCAAATCTATGTTATTGCAATATATTGAGAGGGGGGACATTTTGAGCATATTTTAATATTGGGGGGGTTGTGTGTGTGTGTGTCCCAATATATATTATAATTACGGCCTTGGCTAAGCTCGCCAAACTGCACTGACTGGTGCAGTGAGCTTTGGTAAAACGATCCCTGCCCAAATAAGTTTTCGTTAAGCAGTAGATTGGCACACGGAGAAGGCGTCCTCTTCACACCCAGCCATTGTTAGTAAGCTCCGTCTCTTTCATTCTCCAGCCAGAAGCATGGCTGGGGCATCTCTAGGACTGCTGGTGACTTGACGCACCGTGGGTTATAAACCAATTCTAGTTTACTTATTTGTTTCACTTCACTTTCGCACATAATTTGACCGCTGCGTGTCCTGTAGACGTATCGTAATTAAACAGATGGAAACTCCGTGCACCACAGTAACACTGCCCCCATCTCAGCAAACAAGCCAAGTGGGGGGAGGGGGGAATGCCACGTTCACAATGCTATGCGTATATGGTTCGCGTAAAACGTCCATTCGTTTTATGAGCTTTGCAAATAAAGTGATAGATTTTACAAAAAATGGTAACTGTTATTACGTAAGCATTTAATTTAGTCACACAATGTATTGTGGATCAACAAACCAGATTCGTTTCATTTGCATGTCAACATTATTTTGAAAATTAAACCATCGGATGAGGCTGAAAACATTCAACCGAGTGCCGAGTTCACTTGGCGTTACGATTGGCGCGTGCGTGGGAACGTTTCAATTGACTCCTCTAATGTGGAAAAGGGTGGTACCAGAGAAAACAGGTTTGACCTGATAACAACCACGGGCAGAATAGCAGCAGCCAACTGACTGGATAAACACTCGCAATAGCGTTATCACAGAGACTGCACCAGCACAATGTCTCGGGTGCAGTCACCCACCGCCTCTTCCCAAGTTGCTACAACTTTGCTCAAGTCACTAAATAAGAACTAATCTATCTTGATTTGAAGCTTTCGTGACTGCAGGCATCCATACTCTTTGGTTCTTTCGGTAAAGTCACGTCGGTAGAAAAACAATAGATCACGACGTTTCGATCGCAACACAAGCATTCGTCATCAGGTGGGACAACCACAGGAAGAAAAACTGCTGAGGTAGGCGAGAGATCTGCCGTGGCACGAGGTTATATAGGCATCGGCAGTAGGGGGGGAGAGCGAAGGGGGGGAGGAGGCGGGGCAGAAAGTGGACCCCGCAGCAGCACCCGGGTCACTGGAGTAGGTGGTCCACTTACTACCTAGGTGACTTTACCGAAAGAACCAAAGAGTAAAGAACGAATCTATTACACGTTCAACAGTGCTGTTTGTTGCTAGCCGCTTGGTGTATTGGGCATTTTGGCCCTGTGCTCAGCAATCGTGATAATTGCATTTCGTTGTCGCTAAGCAGTACAGGCTCATGATGCCAACTTAAACCCATTCCCATGTCAACCCAACTTGTGTTCAGGTGCAGCTTGGCAAACGCGTTGGAGTCCCATGTGCTTGGGAACAGTGTTGAGTTAAACAAAACAAAACGATGGAGAAGAAGCCAACGGTAGATCAATTCTGGAGACTTCAGCACCTGGTGGAGCGATGCCTTCACGACCTTGAGAAGCTCTCCTGCACAGAGTCGCCCAAAAATGGTAAGCTTACAAGCCAACGGCGACAGCCATTATTATGAATCGATCCAATGCAGTGGTTTTTTGTATTTAAATGTAAACGAGTGTATACACTTGTTACTTTCAGTGGGCTCACGGTTGTGCGATTGCAAGAAAGAATGACGCAGAAGTTAACTTGCATCTAAATGTACAACGGTATATTCATATTATAGGTGGAAGAATCCTCGTTATCAGTCATGCGATGTAATAATCCACCGACCACCCACATACTAGCGGATTTTACCGTGCCATCTCCTCCGTGGATGGCCTCTCGAATGTCTCCCGTTCCTTGGCCGCCACTCCGTTATTAATCTTGGCCAAGGGCCATCAATCCTTTTCGCGCCATATCCTGGCCAAGCCCTCTTCGCTTTCCGTAACCATTTCAATGATGCCCTTAACCTGAATCATCTTTATTTGATCAACGTATGCGGTTTTTTCTGTCTCTAAGTCTGATTACAGTGCAGTATACGCTTGCATGTATTCACGGTTTAAGAACTTTCAGTTGTTGTGAAATTTTGTTTGTTAACTACGCACTGATTAAACACTTTATTCTTTAGGCACATGAGTAGTGTAGTACTTTTCTATTGTCTAGTTCACCTTTCTAAAAGTACTCCAACCCTAATAATGTGTGAAATAGTATTACAGTAAATACTTTATATTCTGTGTATACTATATATAAACAGTATAGAAAGTTGACCATTATCCCTAATAGAGGGTTTGGGTTAGATTGCGTGAATATAAATGTGTCGTTAAACCCACCACCATCTGACACAGCCAATTTAGTAAGGTTTGTCACATAAACAAAACGTCGCAATTCGTTCCTAGTACAGCACACCGGCGTGTTGCAGAGTAAACCCGCAACATGTACAATTCGAGTACGACGTTTCGCCAGTAATTACAAATAGCATAATCAGGTGACGGACAGAATAATTTAGACTGAAAACAGGATAATTTCTCCACAACTTTGGCTGTTGCCTGATGTTGCTGGTTGTAATTATTGACGAAACGTCTTACTCTCCAACACTAGTACAGCACACCGGTGTGCTGTACTAGTAACGAATTGGCATGTTTTGTTTGTGACGAACCTTACTAATTGGCTGTGTCGGGTGGTGGGTTTAACGACACATTTATATGCACGCAATCTAACCCAAACCCCTATATTATGCATATTGGTTGCAAAATGCTACGTGTCAAAGTTGACTATTGTTTCACAGCAGATGTCTTGCTTGGAATGTATCCGGAAGGAATTTGCATGCTGTGCTTTCTGTGGCCCACAGCTGGCTTGGCACTTAACCGATGGACCTTGGAGGAGCTTATCAGCAGACATCCATCCAATGGTGTATTGGTCATTCGGCAGATACTTGACAAACTCCGAGAGGTAACGGCCGAGCACTTGGCGACCAAACCATTCCGACGCACCTGCAGGGATTCACAACTGCATGTTTTCTGTAGCTGTTGCCACTACTTTTGCACCGTCGCAGTTTGGCCACGGCCATTGCTAGTTGACTTTGGTGAGAGCTCGGAACATGATTCCTGTTGGGCTCGATCAAGATTCCGTTTGGAGAGTTGAACCGCCAGTGGAAAATTGTATCATCCAGTACTCCTCCTGAACTAGAGCTCACAAAATACTACCGTGTTGTTTCGATTATTTTCCCGTGTATTTTAACGCAAAGGTTGGGGAGGCAGACTTTGCAGCAGTCCACGGTTGTGAGCCTTCTGCTGCTGCTGTCCGTTGGTCACATTATTTTTGATGGACGATCTTAAGAGGACCACAACGCACCACTTTAGAAAATGCTTAAGGTGTTTCGCGTAAGCACAATGGGCATTTTTCTGTTTCACACATTTTTGTATGTCGTCTGAAACACGAAAAACTGCATACCATATTCTTCCCTTGTCCACGCTGCCACTTTCCCTTGCATCCACATCCTCATTACCACACCATCATCATATCAACGTCACATCCCACGCATTGTGAGTGCTACAATTCAACGAATAGCATTTTAGGATACGTTTTAGATGTGGCTGATGTAAACATTTAAATGGAACAACCGCATTTGTTTATTCATATAAAGCCTCAAAAACATGTTTTAAATGTACTGTGTGTAGCAGTTAATCACTAAAAACGGTATGTTTGGTCGTACAGTATTTTTCAAAGGGTATGTTTTTATTATTGTATGTGGGATGATTAATGATAAAAATTGGAAAAGGGAATAATTAAAATAGCGCATTGACACCTCCATACTGAGTGCAGTAAACTGTGGTTTGGACATTTAAATATTTTTCACAATGAAAGTCTTTCGATACACAATTCTCTGACCAAAAAGGTCACATGGGTAAAACACACACAGGTGCAAAACGCATTACCATGACTTTTTTTTGTATGCACGTTTCCAGTGTGTATTATTAAATTGTACTGTATTCTTCTCTTGTGGTTGCATTCCTGCGTTGGAGGAAGTAGCCATGACCTGCGGCTATTCCTGCGTGTACATAGCCTGAATTGTTAGGTGGGTGTTCATTTCCAGTCAGAGCCTTGTTTGCGAGTCTTACACACAAAAAGTGCGCAGGCAAACATGACCACCTTCCTGGGAACAAAAACCATGCGGACACTTTCACGCATGCAGGGAGGAAAGATGTGTTGTTCCCTGGTTATATGGGGTATTGAACATGGAACAGTTATTTTTACATATCCTTTTAATGTGTTTTAAGTTTGAATATACACCATTTAAATGAGTCATTACCCATACATGTCTAAAAACTTCACTTTATTGGAAACCTGATTGTCATTTAAATACCTCTTGTATTTAAATCAATGTCACAAGTTATTTTGTGTTTTTTTTTTGTCAGCTTCATGGGACATTTAACCACGATGGATTTGTTCCTTTGGCGCTCATGTTTTGGTCAACTGTAATAAACGTACGTACATTTTCAGTGGCATTTTTTGTTGTTGGTACAATATTACCTAGATTGAAATTACAAAAAAGCTGAATCGCTTGTACAATGCAGGATTGTGATTTACTACTAACAACCGTTAAGTGTAAAGACAGTGCGGAGCAATAGCGGGATAGTCTGGGTCCTCGGGACCATGGTTACTAATGGCCGTGCTCATGATGATTGATAATTGGACGAGTGTTGACAGCGTCACATGAGGGGGTGGGGAGCACGGGGTCCAATGGCGGGGGAAGTGTAACTAGGGCGGTGATGGACAGAGGCAGGTGGGCGAGGAGAGTTCTAGAATGGGGGCGTGGCCGCACCGGGCGAGGTATAAGAAGCAGCGCGATGCGGAGCTGGGGGCTGTTGGTGTGGGACGCTGTCGTCGTCGTCTTTGTCGCCTTGAATTGGGTCGTCTCCATCGTCTGCGAGTTGAGACTAGAAGCTACGTTGTCTCAGAATAGAGTCGTCTCACTACCCAAGTGTATATTTGTCACTTGCGGTTACTTGTTGAGTTGTCAGTGGACTTTATTCAGAATGAATATACAGAAAGACAAGACGGTGTCTCTGAGAGCTACATCACATATGCATTACAAAAGGGCAATTGTCCAAATACATTGTCCCACTAACGTGCTGTCTGACAGTGTCCGTGGCAAGGTTTTATTTGGTCTTCCTTACGCACCACTCCCAGCTGAATTCCGTCAGTGTTAATGGTAAAGACAATAGTAGAGGTGCAGCCCTGCAAGTGCTTGCTCATGCCACTGCTGGTGGGAGGGCCTCCACTAGAGGGAGCTCTCGAGAGGCCCCTCTAGAGGGTATTGTGGCCTGCCCTGTCCACGACAGCCAGATGTCATAGAAGTTGGTAGGAGTGCCCACGTTTTACACCATCACAGGATTTGCAAATCGTCTATGGTGTACACATTGCTACTGCTCGCTGGATAGGGATGGGTGGATTTAAGGTATGGTTACGTACTTGCCTTCCGGATTGCAAATTTAATGTGCTTACCATTGCACCAGGGCAGCATCCGTGTTTTGTTGTCACAGCACTAAAGTATAATTATGCGGTGATAATTGAATGAATTGTTAATTGTGTATGGTATCCAGCATACCTTTATGATTTATTATACTGCACTGTACACTGTATTTGTATTTTCTTTGTCAAAATGAGACTTGGAACATGATGCCAAATTCTCGACAGACCCCACACATACCCCAAGACAAGCAGATCCTCGACATGTCTTACGAGGAGTTCTACAAGTTTCTGACATGGCCACAGCCTGCAGGTGGACTCTGCAAAAACATACTTCACTTAATCAAGACAGAAATGAGAGCCCCCGGTAAGTCTGGCGATGGGGGTCGTGTGCCTGTCTGTGTGTTGTGTGCCCCTGGTCCTGGCCTCCCCCTCGGTCGACTCAGCCTCAAATGAGTACCTGGTGCGGTGTGTAAACATCGCCACTGGGGAGACAAAGGCGGTCGGGCGTGGTGAAGGCCACCCACCCTTTCGTGTGTCGTGTAGGCCTTCATAGGTGCTCGCTAACAGCACTTGCCCAACAGTCTGTTAAGGCTATAGGGGGATCTTTGTCTTTGTGCTCGTGGGTAGAAGCAGCACAATGGTTAGAACACTGCACTACAAACTCGGCGACCTACGTTCGATTCCCAGCCATGGTTAACATCTGGAGTCTCCCGTAGTCCGACTCGTAGTCATCAATGAGTACCTGGTGCAGTGTGACCCTGCCAAAAGAAAAACGTGGATCATGCAATACATGTAAATTTGACTTTAATAACATGTATTTAATCATGTTGAATAGGGTTGAAGACTGTTAATTCCTTCTACATACTATTAACATGCCCTCCCTTTGTTAATGCTACCCCCCCTCCCTTTGGTGCTGCTGATCCTGCATAATGCATGGGCATAATATGACTTTGAAACCCCCCAGCCCACCTCCTACGCATTTCCCATGAATATGCTAAATTCCTCTTGATATGCACATTCTTTTGTTAAGGCTCTCTTCTTCTTCCACCTCCAACTCAGCTTATATATAAGCTCCTAGCTTGGCAGTGTCTCATTCTTCACCTGAAGACGACTGCTTGCGTTGTAGCCGAAACGTCGTGAGAATTATTTTATTATGTTTTATTTTTATTATTTTATTACTTCCCTTCTACGTGACTTTACCGAAAAAAAACCAAGAAGTATTATGTACGATTCTCACCAATACATCAAAGACCCACACCCACCTGACACTCACCTGCCTTGACCGGGCCTTATGACTTTTATTTTAACATCCGAAGTGATGCTTTTCCTTGATACTTCATCTCAAATTTCCAGCACCAATACTTGCAGGCCTTTTTACAGATATGGGTTTAAAATGTTCACAAAAGCATGAAAATAAGGTAGAGAAACCAAGGTGGAGTGAATAAACACACGTCAGCGGGAGGGAGTGTCAAACAAAAACTGGCGAGCGATGTGTCGCTGTAATAACTTTGGAAGAAGAAGAATTTTTGTTTAATGTAATTGTGACCACGAATCGTGAAAATTGACTCGCGTGGGGGGGTTGGGTGCTGATTGGCTCAGAGCGTTGCATTTCCTCAGTGCAGCTGCTGCGTCTTCGCATAAGCGATTTTGTTTATTTTTGTTGTTGAAAGATTTGTATCCAGGACAAAGAGCGCTATAACAAATACGTGTTCTACGCGGTCGCGCTAAAGAGACGTCTGCCTGTATAATGTTTTACAAAGTCAATTAGATTTTACTTTCATTTTGAAATATGAATTTTCAAAATGTTCCAATTGACTTCAAATAATATGTTTAAAGTTACATTTTAATAGACTTAATTATTTTGTGCTTGTTTTTATCAATGACAATACTTTTTTTGCAGGAATAACGTTCCAGAGGCTGGCCCAAGCTGAGAATGAAATTAGTTCAAATAGTTGCCTTCCAAATGCAAAGTGAGTATTTTTTTTTTTTTCACAGTTTATGGTTGCACTGTTTGACTTATCATCATCCGTTTTTTTATTCCAGAAATTGAAGTTCTTTAAAAAGAGATAAAATACAGAACATTTCCACTAAAAGCTCCCATAGACTTTAATGTTAAATCTTTCCATAGACTTCAATGTTAATAATAATAATTTAAATTTATAATGTGCATTCCATCCTAGAATCCCAATATGCAAAGGCTCCCATAGACTTCAATTGCAAAGGCTTACATAGACTTTGGATTTGGTCACAAATAGATGTGGAAATGTGTTCATAAATAAGTTACATACACAACATATAACACACTACATTTTAAGAAATTGCACACTTTCCATGTAATATATACATACTGCACATTTTTAAATGAAGACTTTCCATGGAAATGTTGTTTCGCGGTTACACAACACTCACTGTATGCACACATTGCTGATTCTGTTCATTGCCATTCAGAACCGTTCTCCTACTTGATCCTGCGGAGGTACCACAAGGGTTTTCCGAGACTATCAAAGCCGAACTGAAACTTCTGGGTCTGGACAGACAGAGCAGCACCATGAAGCTCATCCGACACGTGTTCCAAAGCACAGGCGGCAGGGAGTATGACCTTGATGCCCTGCAGAAATCCCTGCAGGTGTGTGCATTGCCACTGTGCATGTGTGAGTTTGGCATGCCACAGCAATGGTCAGTCAAATGGCATTGGCTGTAAACTGGATATGTATGCATGTTGAACTTCTTTTGCACGGTACGTAGCCAACCGTGCCAATCGGAGGTGCGGGGGAAGGACAACAAACTAAACACAAAGCATTTCTAAAGAAATTAGATTTCAATCTCGATGATTTAAAATTGCATAGCTCCAGTAACTTCCTAACATCGGAAGGAAGAGCATTCTAGATGGCCGCAGAAGCGCAACTGAATGTGCGCGATGCAGTTACCGTCTTTGTTCGTATGGCTAGCCAAGGTAGGTGAGTTGGTGAGAGGGCGAGATGGTCATGGTAAAGTTGCTCCAGGCCTTAGATCGTGATTGGCTTGGTGGTGTTCAAATGGGAGCAGAATAAAAACAATGTTGACATACAAATGTTATACATATAGTCTGCATCATTGTTGAAAGCCATGTAAATCCTGTGGAGCCAATCCATTTCATGACGAAGTAAAAACGTGGGAAATACATTTTGTGATGCATCCTTGCCATAATTAAGTCAACGTACCTGCATATCACCATTGCAGATGAAGGACAATGATTTTGTACACAACGTATACCTGAGGTGTGTGAGTGCACTGGAGAAGGCAGATTCCTCAAGAAATGACGACCGCACTTCTGGAGACCTTGGGCAGCAGTTGCACACAATCTATGAGGAAATTGTGGGATCTGGTAAAAAAGGTACAATCTTTGTTTTGAGTGGGTATGGAGCCTAACCTCAGTTAAACCGCTTATCTGATTCAATACTGTATTAGTCATTATAACATTGTAAACAATAAATGTGTCGAGCTGAGGGGAATTTATGTAGTGTTCATGTGGTAATTCCTCGTTTAACGTGGTAGATGTGTTCCTTTAAAGTTACGTGTTAAGCAAAAAGCACGTTAAACTATTCATTGCTGTACTAAATTACATTTGCACGGTAAAATTAGCTTGCAGTAATTTTTCAAAACCCAATAATGCGTACAATTGCTGTGGCGTTGACGACTGTGATAGTCGGTTCTAGCAAATGTGCGTTTTTCTAACGCATGAAAACAGTTTCATTGATTCCAACACTTCATACCGTTCAGTGTTTGTGTAACATTCACAAATGGACTGTATGTATTTTGTTTATGTACAGGTGAAAACAATAGCACATTGGAGTTCATCCCATTGCCTGTTCCCAAAATATTGGTCCATGACTGGAAAGACCAGAACTTAGGTGAGCTGATAATATACATCATATATATATTTATATTTCGATTTAAAGCTTTCGTGACTGCGGGGATTCATATTCATGGTTCTTTCGGTAAAGTCACGTAGAAGGGAAATAAGAAAATAATAAAAATTAAACGGAATGAAAATTCTCACGACGTCTCGATTGCAACACAAGCAATCATCATCATCAAATTTTCTTGCTGTAGTTTTCACACCTGATGATGATTGCTTGTGTTGCAATCGAAACGTGATAATTTTTATTATGTTTTATTTTTATTATTTTATTATTTCTCTTCTATGTGACTTTACCGAAAGAACCAATAATATTATATATTTTTTTTATTTTCAATAAATGCAGAAATTATTTTATCCAAGAGCATAGCTGGACACCCAAAGCAATGGCAAATGTGACCACGTGGTTTCAGTGCTAACACTCTTTGAGACGAGGCTCTAAAGAAAGTTGTCTCTGGTGTGGACCAATCAGTTTCAAGGACAATGCACATACTGTCAGAGCATGTTTTTTGTTTGCATGTTCACCACAAGTATATGTGGTTAATGCAGACATGATTTCTTGCAAAAGGTTTCAGTTTGGTGTTTTAACATCTTAACACCTGTTTTATTGCCAGAAATGGTAAAACCTATTTTTATAATTGTACTGTGACTACACAATCACCTTTTGGGTTGCAGTGGTGCTGCGAGTAGCCGTAGTAGTGGTGATGGTGGTTGGGATGTCCTGGTGGTGCAGCTTGTGGCTGCGTACCATACTATTTTTATCCATTGCACTTTGTCTGCAAGTGATGCTCTCGCCTATCTATGTATATAAAAAAGGTTAAGGATTGTCTGCAACAACTCAGCTGGCTTCCAATTTTATGTTGCTCTATCAAGAGTCGGATCGTTTGATTAGCTTAGTGTAGTGCCTTAAAAAAATAACCCAGAAGTTGACAATTGTGTCTTTAGAGAAATCTTTGGTAAAAAATAAATAATATAAGTTCAAAAAAATTAGTTTAATGTTTAAATAAGATATGCTAGATCGGCATATGTTTTAATACCAGTTACAGCTTGTGAAATATATTTTGGGCCAAACAGGAACTAATGAGCAGAGCAAAAACGAAGCCTTTAAATCATGCCGGCTTACAGGTGCAATTAGTCCTTTCACAAGTTATCTATTCATATGAATACGTATCTAAAAGTATTAATTATTCATGACGTCAACGACAGTTCTCAATAGGGCCTCCAAAATGTTAACACCATTCCTATCAGTGGCATTCATTCATCATTCACCTCTTGTTTTTTTTGTTCTTCAGACTTTTTATACAAATACGTGCAGCAGAAAAAAATTGGCAAAGCACTTGCCACCGAGCAGGGATCTGGTGACGTCGAACCTTTTCGAGATTCCGGATTCTCCAGTGCTTCCATAAGTTCTGGCTCTTGGCCCGAAGGGGAATCCGCTTGTGAGACATGGCCACGTGATGACAGCCTGTCGGCTTTGCGGCACAGTGAAGCGCACTTGCCGAGTGACAAACGACCAGACAGTGGATATTCCGAAAAGGACGAATTAGAACTGAGTAACATAGAGGAAGATGACCTTTTGGACACTGATCCCAATGTTAGCCAAGACGATCTACCACAAACAGATGAATATTATTTACCCAGTGAGCTACCACTGCTGGATGAAGAGGAACCCAGTGAAACATTGTGCTGTCGCGGTTCAATTGAGGATGACCTATCGGACAATGAAGTGACAGAAGAGTGCTCTTTCCAGAAAACGCCCGAGGCAATTAAACTTAAGAGAAAGACGGCGATGCGCAGGAAGCTACAACTGAGAGGCGAAAAGGCTGCAGAGTGCCGCGCCTTGCGAATTGTAGTTTTTGGCCGAGATAAAACGCTGGGAAGGCTTGCCAGGGCCTACAACAGGATGAGGTGAGTGTGTGTGTTTAGCAACAGTAGTTAACACGCTGCACTATCAGCGGGGTGACTCGAGTTCAATTCAAGGCTAACAACATCAGTGGTGAGTGATATCAGGACCAGTGCTGTCGTCAATCCACCCTCCACCATAACCAATCCGCACTGACAAATGTGGTGCAGTTTGGTCAAATAAATCCGCCCAATGACCAACAAGGTGTGAGTAGGGCCTTCTTCCATAGTTCCATAGTTTACTGGACATCTGTGAAAAAGGGCTTGATAGCTCATCAGATTCCTCCACTCCAAATAAAGCATATGATTCTGCATGAGAACGGCTGTGTGTGGGATTCACATTACCGTACTGATGTGTCCAAAAACTAGGTTTTGCACTTTGGTGTTTTAGCATTGTAATTTTTTTTTGGTTCGCTAACACGAGTGATTTCAGAAACTTATAATAATGCAAAGTGGAAAGTATATTACTATTAGGCAAATATAGGGCATTACTGGCTTTCAGTAAATCGCTATATTCTTTTTAGCTGAAGTTCCTTCCTCTGTGCATTATTTAAACTGTGTTTCTGTTCAGGATACGCGAATCAAGATGTTCATTGCTGATGAAGCACTTCCGGCTGGAGTTTTACTACATTCCCATTCGAGACCAACCGCCCTCCACAGCCAACCCACTATGTGGACAGGCTCTCAATCAGCAGGTACAATTCCAAGACAAATTTTAAAATGTGTTCTTGTAAATCACAAACCACCTATCTAGAAACAGTACACTCCTTAGCACAATTTGGTATGGAGCACCTGAGGCATGCGCTTAAGCAATAGCAGGGGAAATTCGAAGCCAGATTGTCCCCTTTTATACAACATCTGAAATAAGTAAGCCAGATAGAGGGTCGAGAGACACGGATGGAGGATAAGTGGTATAACCCCTGCAGATTAGATGGGAGCCGGACTCAGAGGGGTGGAAGAAAAAACGCTAGTCCTGGTCGCCTATTATGTTTTATTTTCTTTATTTCGGATGCGTTTCGGTTACATCCCTTGCTCCCCTTGTCAACCCCTGTCTCTTACTTAAAGAACTTCCCTTACCCCTTTCGGTGCGGACCCGTCTGATTTGGGGCAGCAGCGGGTTCGTTCCCCATCTCTCTGTCCCCTGCTTTCTATTACCAGTTTAGTTTTTGTTGACGATGTTATACGTACGTCACAACGTGATGTAATGGGCCCGCTCGTTGCCTCAATAAAGCAGAAAATCCTCTTGTTATTAAACCGCTGTATTGCTGGTTCTTAACAATTGGGTGTTTTGTTGCCGTATGTTGCAGAGGTTTATGGCTCTAGCCCCAATGCTGCCCTGGTAAACACTTTGCTGTGCATTAACCATAAATCTGCACTGTCTATTTTGCATTGAATGTCATTCGAAGAAGAGCAGACCATGTGTGCCGACATCAGTGTACAAATTTTGTCGGATAAAAAAAAAACTCCTAAATTATTTTATTTGGCAATACACGTAACAACATGATCCCCTTACTGACATACTAGTCGTATGCAAAACATGGTGTCTTCCTGTTATATGTATGTTTAACTTCTTTCGCACTGCCGGTAGAAAACCGTGCTAATTCTAAGGAAATTAGTTATCAAACTAGATTTACACTAAGAATGCCACAGACATCAAATGTGCTAAATAATTATGAATATTCAATGTTATTATTATCAGCAGGATCAAGACGACTGCGTGATATCTCAGACTCTGGGAGCGATCGACACCTGGTACGAGCGTAACGTTGGTAACGCCTTCAGCATCATGACCCTTCTTCCGAGCCAGGTCTGAGCTTTTTGCCAGAAAATAATACACGAATTTAATGCAATATTTATGAGACATCCTTAGCCAGTATCAAGATGTAGTAATACGTTTCTACCCTTTTAACTGGCACCAAAACTGCTTACCCCGAGCTCTCAATACTCTGATAGTGCGCTCTTTTTGAGTTGTACGCCTTTTGGAGTCATCTGGTCCAACACCAGTGGGAGACTAGGCTCTAAGAAAAGCAGTCTCGGGTGTGGACCAATCAATTTCAAGGACGGTGCATATCATTATCAGAGTTGTCTCTTTTTGTTTGCATTTTGACTGCTTGTGTTGTGGTTATTGCAAACATGATCCCTTGTATAAAGGTGTCAGTTTTTGTGCCAGATAAAAGGGTAAAAACCTATTACTACTAATGCAATCTTCCTGGTTCTTTCGGTAAAGTCACGTAGAAGGGAAGTAATAAAATAATAAAAATAAAACATAATAAAACAATTCTCACGACGTTTCGGCCACAACGCAAGCAGCCGTCCTCAGGTGAAAACCAGGTCCGTCGAGGCGACAGAGTCTGAATGAAACAGCACACGAGCTTGGAGCATATATATAAGCTGGGCGCATTGACAAAGGAATTTGCATATCAAAAGGAATTTAGCATATTTATGAGAAATGCAGGAATGTGATTAGTACTGCATATGCATGTGCATTATGCAGGATTAACAGCATCAAAGGGAGCTGCAGTTACTGCTGCAGCAACAGTAACTGCAGCTCCCTTTGATAATGCACATGCATATGCAGTACTAATCACATTCCCGCATTTCTCATAAATATGCTAAATTCCTTTTGATATGCAAATTCCTTTGTCAATGCGCCCAGCTTATATATATGCTCCAAGCTCGTGTGCTGTTTCATTCAGACTCTGTCGCCTCGACGGACCTGGTTTTCACCTGAGGACGGCTGCTTGCGTTGTGGCCGAAACGTCGTGAGAATTGTTTTATTATGTTTTATTTTTATTATTTTATTACTTCCCTTCTACGTGACTTTACCGAAAGAACCAAGAAGATGAATCCCTGCAGTCACGAAAGCTTTAAATCGAAAGATACTAATGCAATATTGTTCTCCAGGATGCAGCAATATCTCGCCGTGCGGTGGTAACATAGCCCAGCGGTAGCGCGTTCGCCACTCGCTGCAGAGGTTTGCAGTTCGAAACCGGCAGGCCACCCTGCTTATTATTGCGGGCGCATGAGCCGTAAACACACACTGTTCGTTTCACATTGGATACTCAAGATCCTGTGACGTGATTCGAAAGAGTAGGCCAGTGTTATGTGTTGGCGTCAAGGTCCAAGTTATGCTGAATTCATAAAAGTACCTGCAAATGACTAATTTGGAATTATACATAGCAACGTCGCCCCACCCCCCCGATTGTGAAACTACTGCACACTGCATGGAAACATAGCCACCTTCATGTTAGCCTTTCTCTATAGGAATGGTGCCCATTAAATGTATTTGAGTGTTACTGTTATTGAACAAGAATCAGAGTTCTTGACACTGAGCCAGTCATAGTCGCAGTATTTTCCCCATGAAATGCAATGTTGGTGATATTGTTTTCTTGACCTATTTTTCTACTTCACAGATCACACAAGAGACGAATGTAATTGCACATTATCCATTCTGGGCCAACACAGTGCTGTATTACAGCCGGTTTGCCAAGCACTCAGTCCTGCTTCAAGCTTATCAAATGGAGGTAGGCAATGGGCATTCAACAATAGCTGACTACACTCATAAAATATAAAAAAAATCAGCACAGGGGTATACCATGTAAATAAAATATATTTAGTGCTACTAACCTGAATAACAAACTTGTAAATTATCTTTAAACTTAATTTAGTTATTTTAGAATGGATAAGTAAACTGATGCTACTTACGTGACATTACAATCAAGAAGAACGTGCATCAAATGGCCCCAAAGTTAATTATCACTTTTTCGCATTGTTTTGCTCTGTTGACCAGTTGTGCCTAATGAATGGAAAGAAGGTGAAGGAGATTTTTGTCCAGGAGATGCTCGTGTCCCCTCAGTCTTCAAGACAAACACTGATGGCCGGTAAGAATGATCATTTTAAGGACTCATCAATTAAATCGATTATAGTGTGTGTGACACTTTGCTAAAAGTTTCGTGAGCAAGACCATATTGTAATTACTAGATTAACCTCCACTGGTTTCAGAGGGGTGGAAATAAAAAATGCTCGGCCACCTTTTATGTTTTCATTTTATTCATGTCGGGTATGATTTTGTTATATCCCTCTCTGCCCTTGTCATCCCTTCCCCCCTCATTATATAAAAGTTACCTCCCCCCCCTTCGGTGGGACCCCGTATGGTTCGGGTGCAGCGAGCGCGTTCCCCATCTTTCTATCCCCTGTTATTTTCGGGCCGGTTTGGCTTGTGCTGATTGGGTGTATGTGTGTCACGACGTGATGCCTGCATATTGCCTCAATAAAATTAAATGAATAAAAAGAGATTAACCAGCACTGGTTGTGCATTTGAAGTGCTATTGTACTTTCTTATTTTAAAAGTTTTGCTGGAGGGAAGAGATGATGGACGGATAGTCATATCTAAAGGATGTGCGGGCTGCTAGTTCTGGCTTAAAGCAAGGACTTCTGCTCTGGAAGACCTTGCATACTTACTAGTTTAATCATATGTAACATTATTAGATAACACTGGTCAACACACTTTTTCTGGCATAAGGTATTCCAACGGGTTCAAGGTAATTTTGGGGTGCTGATTCCAAATCTGGCATCAGTTTTTGTCTATTACATCAGGTTTTTGAGATATCAAAGATTGCATTTTCAATAAACTGCAGAAGAAAAATATTAAATAAATGCGGATATCTACATAAAATTATATTATAAACACACTATCCTAAAAATACAGCACCATATTTTAACACTAAAGCAGTCATTGACTCGCAACAACTTGCAATCATAAGTGACAGAGTTAATTTCGGGTAAAATCAATGAAAATGGGGTATGCCGATAGCATAAAAATGAGATGTGATAGAGCAAATCTGAGATCAGATTTGGAATCAGCACCCTGAAATTAGTTTAAAACAGCTGCAAAAGTCCAGGCCAGAAAAAAATGTTTTTTTTGTTGACCAGTGTAATACATTTTGTGAAGCAGGCACTATGAATTTGTAAGCACTGCCTAACTCACCATTTATTTGGCAGGTCAATGCAGAAGAGCTTCAGACTATGACAAAGAACCATCTGTCTCTCTCTCGTTGGCGTACGACAAGGTGAACAAAGCATCAACAATGCACCCTCATCTCCAGGTGTATCTCCTAAAAAAAATCTTCCTGTAGTTCAGACCTTTAAACCTGTTAAAAAATTGGGCTCTCAGTTGGTTTCCAATAAAGAAAATTATTTATGTTATGAGGATTCGAAACTGTGATGGTGGTTAATCTGTTAACCCTGCCTTTGCAGGTTAGCGTAAGCAAACGTGTGCAGACGGTGACCGTTGAGAAGAATTTCACATCTGTGAAGATTTCACGACTCTCACCACTGGTGAAAGCAGGTATGGGAAGTGCTGATAGTCATGCAAGTAACTGAATGTTTCTTGAAGCGTTCCTTTTTTTAGTTTCTTCAGATGTATCTGGTGTATAATTGATATATGTATATAAAACATATGTTCATACCTCTAGAGGCCAACTTGGATACTCTATACCTCATCACGATGGAACCTGCTGGGAAACAGACAAGGATGTTGCCATTTGTCACCCAGGTATGATCAACAATTATATTTGTACTAAATAAATGGCTAACTTAAGGGACTGAATATTAGTAATAATAATTATTGAGTACATATCGTATTCGGATCATTATTGTAGCACACTGTTATCAGGAAGGCGCTATGTTTTGATTACCAAAAGGATCACTGTGTGACGTCAAGTTGACACTTTTGTAGCACTAATTAAAACGTCCACGTGTTTATGCGTAAATTTTTGTTTGAACAATTAATTTGTTTTCAACATTTAAAACGATTATATTTAGTACACAAACAAGAAAGTTGGTAACATTTTACAAGTATGAAATTTGAAACAATCCAAGATTGGGCTTACATTTGAGAAAATCAGATATCCAAAAAACTAGAATACAAAAATCCTGTCCGTCATATTTTGTGTGCTCGGTGTCCATTGCATGATCTGAGAGTGATGGACTTGTGACATGGTCTCATCCCACAGGTGAACCAACAGACAACTCCACAGATAAGGAACCCTCCCATACGGGTCAATGCTGTATCATTGAAGAGCAAAGCATACTCCACTTTAACTGTCATGTTGGATAATGATGAGAGTAAAGTGTTTCAGGATGTAATCAGGTAAGAAACCACTTCTGACTCAGTTAGGGCCATTTATGTACAAATTACAATGCTGAGAAAAAGTTTGTGAACCCCTGAGGATTTTCACATTTTACATATTTCAAACCTAAAATGTTACGAGATCTTAATCTAAGTCCTAATAATGACACAAACATAATACTCTTTCCACATGTATTTATCTTGAAATGATTCTACATTCAATAACCATGTGTGAAAAGTATGTGACCCTTTAGATTCATTAACTGGTGAGCATTAATGACTGAAAATAAGTGTTTCCTGTAACCGATGGTCCGTCTTTCACATCGAATTTGAGGAATTTTGGCCCATTCCGCCTCACAGAACTCCTTCAACTCAGTGACATTTGAGGGTTGCCTTGTATGGACAGCTCGCTTCAGGTCCTGTCACAACATTTCTATGGGGTTTAGATCCGGACTTTGACTAGGCCGTTGTAAAACGCAGAATTTTTCCTTCTGCAGCCATTCTTTTGTAGCTCTGCTTGAATGTTTAGGATCATTGTCTTGCTGCAAGGCCCACTTTCGGTTCAGCTTCAGCTCACGGACAGATGGCCTGACATTCTCCTCTAGAATCTTCTGCTACAATGCATAATTCATGGTTGTGTCAATGATGGCAAACTGTCCAGGTCCTGAGGCAGCAAAGCAGCCCCAAACCATCACATTCCCACCACCACGCTTGACGGTTGAGATGAGGTTCTTCTGTTCGAAAGTGGCGTTTGGTTTTCGCCAAACAACGCTTCTCATTGAGGCCAAAACGTTCTACCTTTGGCTCGTCTGTCCAGAGAACGTTGTTTCAGAAGTCTTGTGGATCGTCGACGTGCTCTGTGACAAACTTCAGATGGGCAGCAATGTTCTTTATGGAGAGCAGTCATTTTATCCTTGCTTCTTCTTCCATGAACACCATTCTTCGGTCTTTTTTTGATAGTTGAGTCGTGAACACTCGCATTAGCCAAGCCAAGAGTGGCCTGCAGATCCCTTGGCTGTTTCTTTGGGGTTCTTTGTGACTACCTTGAGGATTTACCGGTTTGTTCTTGGTGAGAATTTGGTAGGACGACCGTTCCTGGGTCGAGTCACTGTGGTCTTGAACTTTCCCCATTAGTAGACTATCTGTTTGACAGTGGATTGGTGGAGCCCCAAATCCATAGAAATGGTTTTGTAACCCTTTCCGGATTGATGAGCATCAATAACCCTTTTTTTGAGGTCCTCAGAGATATGTCTTTTAATCATGGCATGATTTGTTTCCACACACCTGTATGGTGAAGACCAAACTCACAGTTTCTGATCTTTGCATAGGGTGGGGCCTCCCAAACTCACCCCTGAAGAGCTACCTAATTATTTAAACGCCTGATTCTAATTATTTCCTTAATTAAGTGAATTAAATCAGGAGTTAACTTACTTTTTCACATATCCTGAGTCTTAATTACTCATTGTTTGTTTAATTTACGCATAATTTTTTTCAAAACACATGGAATTGGTTAATATAAACCCTATTGGATATTCAAGAAAATAACTTTTTTTATTCAAGAATGCTATCATGGTAAAACTATGGAACTTCCATTATTATCATTGGGGTTCACAAACTTTTTCTCAGTACTGCATGTCATGTGTGATATAGTCACATAAAAACAAATATACACCTTAAATGCGCAATGTGTACGTGCGCATTTGTCAACCCACTGCTGGATGAGTGTCGTCCCATCCCACGTGTGCTGTGGGATGTTTGACCATACTTCACCATGCTGGTCAGTGTGGGTTGGGGAAGGTGGGGGAAGTGCAGTGCAGCGTGGATTTTGTTTGCCGCACTGCCCTCTGCTGCCCACAATGCCCCGTTAAACAACTGCCCCTGTATTTTTTGCACTTGATGTTCAACCATCCAAGCGCAATCAGGGCTCAAATTCTGCTTCGCTTCCAGGAGCTGAGAAGATTTGGTGACGCCTCGGTAATTGGGTCTAAATATAAGGAATTATGAGGATCTATTGACTTTTAGTAGTTGTTACAGTAATCGGTGACTATTTTGAATTGAAATGCTTTTGTGTCCCAACAGCTGTGCAGTGTCTGCTTGTTTGAATCCTGAGCACAGCCTGCTGAAGCGACAAGGCAAGACCTCAAAAGTCAACCCAGTCGATTGTCACCCATTTTTATCTCTCCCCATCAGCCTCTTTTCTGTACGGACTTTATAGTCACATTTTTAAAAACGTGACTTTTTAACGTCCTGGGGAAAACTTGACAGAGTTCCCCAGGACAGATGACTCAACAAGGGGGTTGATCCTGGGAAAAACCGGGACAGGTGGCGACCCTAATGTTCGGTTATCAGTGCAGTCTTATATCTCATCATTGTCAAGAGTGGATCCACTCTGAAACGTCGACACCATACCAGTGTACTCTGGTTTCCTTTGACAACTTGACACTGCGTGCGTGAATACAGTATACAATCATTTTAAAATGGTTAAACAATATATATTCTTGATGAAGCTGCGGTATATAACATTCTCAAAAAAACATGAAAAATAACTGATGCAGTGCAGTGTTTTCCATATAAAGTACCGTAACAATAGAGTATAATACACTGTACAATGCTATACTCAATGCCTGTATATATGCTAATGTGTTAGATCGTAATCTTTTTGCAAGTGCCTAGAATTGAATGTAATATCCTATTTAAATTGGGGAAAAAAACTAAGCATACTGTGGAGGAAGCACTAGTTTCAGATGCCTTGTTTTAATGCGCTTGGTATGCAAGTGCAGCTATAGGTATGAGGGATATTTTTTTTATTATCAGAACCTTTATTTCGACTGGAAGAATGTGATGAGTTATGAAGATCTTTTTCAGACGTCCACATTGTGTGGTCCCCCAAGTTCCTCCTCGACTCTTCTGTTGTTTGATGCCACCTTGTGTTCATGGAGAACCACGTGCAGAATGTTGCTGTTAATTGTTCTCACGAGGCTCAAGTTTATCCCGTGAAATTCTGTACCTGGTTGAATTTGGGCATGATGTGTGTGAGAAGGTGCATTTAAACAAAAACAAGGTTCCCTCTCTGTAAAAATCCAAAATGTGAAATTGGTGTAAAAAGTACAATGTAGGTATATAATTAATTAACTCACAGTATTTAAATTATTTATATGGTTTAGCAGATTGTTTTTATGCTGTATTTATGACCATGTTACATCGGGCCTGTGGCGTTATCTTCCTTGATTGGTGGATTGATGAAAACTGGTGGTCCTGTTCATTGTTATTTTTTGTGTCTTCCATTGATAAAACTGGTGGCCCTGTTCATTGTTAAATTGTGTTTCACATTTTATGTGCTTTGGACCTTGTTGCGTGGCAGACACTTCATGAAATAATTATGAGATGAACTCTACAGTGTACATATATAAGGGTGTGTGTGTGTAAATGATATTTCATCATTGGGCAAAATATACACAGGTATATAATTCGGCACGTAAAACATAATTTTATGTAAATCTACTTGATGTATATATTATGTATATTTGCTGAAATAGCAATTACCTGTTTCTAGTGTGTCCTTGAAATCAAGTGGGGAGACAGTGTCCCATATATTACATGGTTGTGTAGGGGGGGGGGTGGAAATCCTACATGCCAAGCAATAATGACATTTAGCTGCATCTCTGCGCTGCATAGACACGTCACCTGCTTGGCAGTCCCAGTTGAGCACTTTACTGTTTTGTGACATGTCGCATCGGATTGTGCATTACAAAATTGGCTCGTGATTAGAGCTGTGCTCATCACTTCCTCACGTCATCGAATACTCCACTGGTTATCAGCTTGGTTTACTCGACTAATTTAATGACACCAAAATATTTGCGGAATAAAAGTATCAACTTTGTACCCATGTGTGTAGCTGGATGGGAGGTGATGGACAGAGCTTGGTGATGTAATTGGCATCATCAGCCACCGTCATGCTGGGCATGACATGCAGGGGGTTTCCAACCTTCAGGAGGCAGAAAGTCGGGCCACCATCTTAAGAGGCTTGAGTAATCGATCACGAATTTTACAATTTTTGCCGTTTGACTTAATGAGTAAATTGTTCCAGCTGTACTCATCATTTTAGATTCTTTCATTAATTGTTATCTTTATTAAATAGACATGTATGATTTTACAACTTAAAATGCAGTCTAAATATGACAAGCTGTTAATGGGCTAAATTATAATCTTAACGTGAATCTGGTAATGGGGTTTTGTTAGGAAAACGGAAACATGGGGTACTCCACCTCTAAATTAGTTTGTTATTTTGAGACACAATCATCAGTGTTTTCTAAATTCGTGATTGTATTGTATCTATATGTTGAGAAGCTTATTACCGTTTGTATGAATTATGCAGGCATTGCCTTTTATTAAAATGCTACTTCCTACTGCGTTTTCCAGTTGTCCCTTAGATATCTTCAATTGTTTTAAAAAGTGTTTTGCATTTCTATGGTTTTGTTCATTTTTGTCTCAAGCCACACTTTGTAGCGTTCTAAAGTAAGTTCTGATATAATGTCCTGTACTTAATTTCCATCGGTTACTAAATTAAAATAGAACATTTAGAAGCTAATATTTTCTCCAATTAAGTTTCGACTTTGTGATGATATTTTTGTTCATTAAACGTAGAAAATCACTTGAAAAACTGCAACATAGCTTCCACTGCATGAATAATATGCCGAGATGCTAAACATTAAATAATTGTAAACAAATGCTTACCAGAGAGATTTTGAGAGACAGAAAGAGACGGAATGGATTAGGCAATATAACCAGGTAGAAGACATTTTTCAAACTGTTGGGTTTGAGTAAGAACACAGCTGTAGAAGAGATGGTCAGTGGTCAAGAGGAATAACTGAGGGGCATCCAAATAATAATTGAATTTGTCGGACAGCACGTCCAACGGGGAGAGCGAGCAATTAAATCGGCTCGTATGCACGTGTTATGCGAATTATTGCATCGTCAGGTCACGAGAGGACTGGCGCTTGGGGGTCGCCTACATTCGCAGTGGATTGACCAATGGTCGGTGCGTATTAATTCAAAATATATCTTGCATATTTTGGGCCAGTCGACACTGCTTGACAGTTGTATATACTGTATGAGCCTGTCCTCCTTTAAGACTTCAATATTACATCCTCCCATAGACTTCATGTTAAAGTCTCCCATAGACTTAATGTCAAGGCTCCCATAGACTTCAATGTTAAATCCTCCCATAGTCTTAATGTTTAAGGTGTCCATAAACTTAATGTTTAAGCCTCCCATAGACTTCAATGTTAAAGGATTCCATAGATTTCAAGGACGCACTTGTTTAAAATCCCTTGTTTGAATGCACTTGAAGTGCAAGCCCAGAAATAGGTGTGATGGACAGTTTTATCAGAATCTTTATTCTGGAAGAATCCGATGAGCTGTGAAGCTCCTTTTCACAGATGAACCTTATGGTGGTACCCCGCCTCTCGCACAATGTCCGTGACGCACTAATGTTTAGTCTGTTGATGGTCGGCCATGCGGTAATTGACTCATCTCGACGAGCTGTACACGATGCACTATTAAAAGTTTCATATTTCGATAACGGATTTTGTTATGCTAATGTTTGGCGTTTCGACATCGCAGAGTAGCACTGATTTCGGATTGATTGGTACCCCAGCCGTGGAGTTAAGTACACCCCTGGAAAAAATAGTGTCCCAGAAATAAAATATGTAATTGCCTCGACCCAGTTTGTATTATTTGGTACCCCTGGGGTACCGCCATAAGGATCAGATGTCTAGATTGTGTAGCCCTCAAGTCCCTTCTCTATTCTGTCGTTTGCTGCCACCTTGTGTTCATGAACGACCAAATGTGGAATGTTGCTGTTATTATTATCATGAAGCTCAAGTTTGGAGTGGGAAATTCTGTGCCTGGGTAAATGTGGTGGTGATGTCTATGAGAAGGTGCATTTAAGAAAAAATAAGTAGCCCTCTCTGTACAAAATCCAAAGGGTGAAATTGGTGTGAAACGTACAATGTAGGTATAATTAAAGTTCTTAAAATCTTCTGACTCACGTATGCAAGTCAGATAGCAATCCCTTCCTTAGCTATCAACTCAATCTCAAGTCGGTTTCTTCCGTTCGTTTCTCAATCCACTTCTCTTGGGGAGGGTCGTGGCGGCAGCGTGTGGAGTCTCGACCTCCCTTTCCCTGGCGACGGACTCCAGCACTACTACACTATACACTGCTACACTATACACTTACACTGCTACACTTACACTGCTACACTATACACTACTACACTATACACTACTATACTATACACTACTATTCAGAGGTGTGGACTCGAGTCATGTGACTTGGACTCGAGTCAGACTCGAGTCATGAATTTGATGACTTCAGACTCGACTTGGACTTGCATAACAATGACTTTGTCCCACCTCTGCTACTATTACACTATACACTACACTATACACTATTACACTACTACACTATACACTACTATACACTACACACTATTACACTACTACACTATACACTACTACACTACACACTACTATATACTACACTATACACTACTATACACCACACTATACACTACTATACACCACACTATACACTACTACACTATACACTACACTATACACTACTACACTATACACTACTACACTATACATTATTACATTATACACTACTATACACCACACTATACACTACTATACACTACACTATACACTACTATACACTACACTATACACTACTATACACTACACTATACACCACTACACTATACACTACACACTATTATATACTACTACACTACTATACACTACACTGTACACTACACTATACACTACACACTACTATATACTACTACACTACTATACACTACACTGTACACTACACTATACACTACACTATACACCACTACACTACTATATACAGACTACTAGCTCTTCCTGGGGAATTCCCAGGCGTTCCCAGGCCAGCCGAGCGACGTCGTCCCGCCCGCAGCAGCGTGTCCTGGGCCAGCCCCGGGGTCTTCTCCAAATCAGTTTATTAATATCCAAAAAAGTCTTGCTCTGGCCTACCTTATTTCATTCCACTTTACTCCCAGTTACACCTGTTGCTTTATTAGTCTAGGCCACGGGTTGGCAACCAAACCAACAAGAGGCATTTTTTGTTCGAATTCGGTAAAAAAATAATGAGCCGCAATGCATGTGAATACGAGACGGTTGTCCTTAATAACTCGCGTAACACAGCGGAAACCTTCAAGAGTCGCACGTGGCTCGGGAGCCGAAGGTTGCCGACCCCTGGTCTAGGCCATTGGCAACACAAAATCGCCGTCAAAAACCTTCCCATTCCTGAAGCTGGGAAATCTCTCTCCAGAGTCAGGGATAAACAATGACCCCCTGCATGCACGATAGCCACCGATTTCAGTTTCATTTATTAGGTATAGCCCTGTGAGCCATGCGGCTCTTGACTCGGGTGCAACCGCAACAAACAAAAACATGAACAAGAAACATCTTGAAGTGACTACGCGCAACAGAAAATCCAGGAAAAAACAGCAAAATCTTCCAGAAAAAATCCCCGTATATTAACGCTGTGTGAAAAAATCCCAGTGGGATGCAAGTCAATAACAACCATAAGACAATTTAGATTAAAGTTATCAGGCTAACTCTGTACTTCAACAAACATGGCTAAACCATACGTTTTCGAAATCACCAAAATAAAGCTATGAAAACAATGTAACAGTGATCATAGGAACTGTTATTCAAATTTAACAATTAACGATATACATAACATGTACGACCAAGCTTTGCAGCCACAGCTGGCAGCATGAGTCCCTCCATAACAGCAGGAGTATCAGCGTGTGTTGAAGAGTGAATTCACAACATTTAAAAAGTGAATCCACAACATTTAAAATGTAAATTAAAAATGTAAATGTTGTGGATTCACTCTTCAACACATCGGTGTGCTAAAGTAGTGAACTATTTGTCTTTCGTCAACGTGACACTTTTTTACTGATTGGCCGTGTCGGGTGGTGGAGGGTTAATACACATTTATAAAAAACGCGATCTAACCAAAATGTTTATTATGAGCCTCTTGTATGTTTGCCGCGAAGATGGCCCATTGCCCACAACATTTCCGATTAGGACGGCTGACTACGTACGATGCGAAAGAAGTTCAACATACATACAACATCGACTTATATATATCCTTTTATTCTTGACGAATGTGTTTGAATCTTGACTTAAAGCTTTCGTGACTGCAGGAATTCATATTCTTTGGATCTCTCGGTAAAGTCACGTAGATAGGTTCAAATTAATAAAAAAAATACCACGTTTCGATCACAACACAAGCGATCGTCATCAGGAGGAAAAAATAGAATGTGTTTGAGTTATTATTCGTTTACCTTTGCCAATACAGAATGTCCAAACAATTAGTTGAATTGTGTAAGGGGATTTGAGAGGAACAATTCACATCTCTCGTGCATTTTCAAAGTTATTACACTCTCTGGGTGAAATTCAGAGCCAGGTGACGGTGGTTGATGTAAAACAAAGGATAATGAATGTGATTAAGACCCCCCACGGTTTGTGCTGGAGAGGGAGGGTTGTTTGAAAGGAAACAAGATATTGACCCTCATTTTTTTATTGCATGACAGAATTAAACCAATTAATAAAATACGTGAATGAAACTGAATAATAAATTGTATTTATAAGGGCCTTTGTACGATTTACTGAAGGCACTGTAAATCACAAAAAAATATGGTAGGCCAAGGGGAGGAACATATCAGAAGTACAGGTGCTAAATTAGAGAACCGCGATCAAGAGAAACGCGTGTTAAGGCAGGGTTGAAACCACACCGCCGCTGTCTCCGAACCACCAACAACAGTGGTCTGTGGTCACCAGTGCGACTGTTGTCATCCAAGAGACCCATACAACATATAACGACGCAACGCCCGTTCCACAAATACGAAGGAGACATCCCGGCGATTCACTCCGCTGCTCCTGACGCGGTTATCTGCCTTCACCACCTGAATGCGAAACTGCTGTTGTTGCTCTGCATCTACATCAGTCGTACGGAAGAACAAGAGCCAACAACAGTCGGGGCAGGGAGCTCGTTCCACAGCCGAAGAGGGCAGCGCAGCAGAGGGCAAGGGCACCCAGAGCATGCGCGGAGGACTGTGTCCGAGGAACACACGCAGGGGCCATCGACCATCGAAAAGCGATTCCTTTGGGATGGCCACACATATGGCCATCCTCCCAGCAAGCCATAATATAAAGATTGTCACCGCATCGTGTGCATTCAGATGCACTTCTATGGCCTTTTGGAACGTTCTTTCTTCCGATATTAGGAAGCCACTGGAGCTATGCACTTTTAAATAATCTAGATTGA